CCAGCACTGCTATGAGGAGTGGAAGCGCTGTGTGGTTTCAGAAGGTTATTTTCAGGGTAGGGGGATATTCTGTATGTATACATTATCAGGAACTCATAATATATCCCACAGATTTCTTATTACACCATAATAATCCCACTTATAATCGTTATTATTATCTGAGATGATGGTAGTTCAAAATGTACCAAGCTATATCGCATTATGAGATCGGAAGTAGCAATTATTATCGACCACAGTGCATGGGAGCGGGTGAGATGTTAGCCATGCAAACATACTAGGGGGAAAAACAAATAACGCGGCAACCCGTTCGATGGTGGTCATAATATGCCTCGCTTAGTTCAACTGTGACAAATATAGGCGGTATGTGGGCGAGGGTGAACGACGTTTACACTACAGAGCCGAATCAGGCAAATTAGGGACGAACTCGGTATGCTTAGTTGTTTAATGGCGGGTAGACCTCAAATTATACCGCTAGAATCGACAGCATCTACCGGTCACAGTGGTGACTTCGACAAAAATGTTTCTCTCGAAGTAAGCAGAGCTTAAGAAACATAGAAGTAGTTGCGACTGAATTATGTATTGCGTAGGGCGATGTTTAGCGTGAGCTGGTTTTCTACCTAACACCGTTCTCATGATGAAAAGATAGGCTTTGTATGTATTAAAAGTTGGAAAAGTGAATTATGATGGATAATTGAATTGGTTTGATATAAAGCGACCACCGTAGAACAAACTGTAATATAGTTATGTATAAATAAAGGCATGTGCTGGTAACAAATAATAATGAAAATGTAGCACTCCACCATCTTGACCTGTAGAATCCAAATACATTAAGTCTAAAGACAAAGTCTGCGAACGTTTTCTTGGAGATGCGACAAAGTTATTTACGTATGATGTACATTTAGTCTAATCATAGATAGATAGATAGATAGATGGATGCTTTATTGTCTTCGGATCATAGAAATGATATAAGACTCGTCAGGCATATCTCTATGAGTACATTATTATCTACAAAAATTAAAAATATAGTTAAGTATAAATACATAAATTTGTCGGTTAAAAATGAAAAGAAACACAGTTTAGTCGAGAAAGGGCAAAGGACGCATGTGCGCACGAATGAAAACATACACTAAACAAGCAGATACAATAATAAACAGAACAAGGTGTAAAAGAAGTAAGTACAATAAAAATAAAAAAAAAAATAAAAGGTACGCATAAACGAGTAAATATATACACACATATAATACATATATATACATATATACACATACATATATATATAGACACACATACATATATATGCACACATATATATATACAGCCATAGTTTCCTATTTAATTTTTTGGTGCATCACTCTTACCCTGAAAGAAACTCGGCTACTGAGTAGTAGCATCTTTCTATTAACAAATTCCTCAGTTCTTTCTTGAACCTATTTGAGCATCTAATATCTTTTAGTATTGATGGCAACTTATGAATACCTTGGTGCAGGCGTAGGCTGGTGATTTTTCGAACATATTAGACGAACATACCCCTGGATTGCCAAATAATTGTAAAGTCTGGTTTTATTGCTGCAAGTTGTTCAGGGTGATATTCAAAATATAGGCGCATATAATGGGTACACCAATTTTTGTGGGAGAACTTTTTATTCGACAACAAAGAATGACAAAAAGGTGTTTTTTGGAATTCAAGTTTGTTGGCAGGAACGAAAAAACTCTTTATATAAGATTGTTATGTATGTATGATACCTACAAAATGAGACTACACGTAAAAAGATCCGACGAATAGTGAAAAACTTATGGCCAAAAACCGAGAAAAGCTGCAGGTTTTGGCACTTGTTCGTAATGCGACGATGGTTTCTTGCAGATGCTTGAAATTCTTCAACTTCGTAGGATTCCTACTTCTAAATAACCACAACAAGATTGGAGGAGATTCCTCAAGCAGTTTTTAAGAATTTCCTATCCCAAGACACCTGTTTCCCGGCCATCACTACTAGTTTATTAAGCAATACGCAGGGTTAGTTCAAAGGGCATTTTATAGCAAAATACACTAGTTTACCTTGTCAATATGAATTGCAAACCATTCTGGAAGATAAATGTTATTTTCATGCAAAAAGGATGGGTTACGTTTTTTCTTCTAAACAAATTCAAACATTTCGTATTTATGAGTAATTCGCAACAAAACATGATAGCGACATCCGCTATGATTTAAAATATGTATAGTAACGTATGCTTTTCGAATTTCAATTACTCACAAATTCGAAATGTTTGAATTTGTTCAGAAGAAAAAATGTACCCATAACATTTATCTTTCGGACTGGTTTGTGATTCATATTGGCAAAGCAAGAACCTGTATTTTGCTATTAAATGCTCTTTAGACCCTGTATATTGCTCAATAAACTAGTAGTGATAGCCGGAAAAAGGTGTTTTGGGATCAAATTAGAGATTCTCAACAAACTAATGTACTCCAATTTTGTTGTTGTCATTGAAAAGTATGAATCCTACAGATCTGAAGAATTTCAAGTAGTTGACTGAAATTATCGTCGCATTTCCAATAAGTGCCACAACCTACATGTTGCCTCGTTTTTCGACCATAACATTTTTGCTACTAGTCGGATCTTTTTACGTACCTAAAAATATTATATTGAAAGTTTTTTCGCTCCTGTCAACACTTTCGATTGAATCCCAAAAAACACGGTCTCTTATTCTTTGTTGTCAAATACAAATTTTTCCCAGAATAATTGGTGTACCCATTTTATGCGTTCATGTTTTAAATACCTCCTCGAACAACTTGCATCAGTAAAATCAGACTTTGCAGTTATTTCGGGGAAATATGCTTATATGATTAGGCTAATTAGCTACATGTTTGACAAGATTCAGAGTCTCTATATTGATGTCGGATTGCCTATTCAGCATATGTTTTAGTAGTGTGTGTTTGTTTAACGCGTGCCCACTGATCGCAGACCCTACCGGTTCCAATTTTATATTCGAATAATTCTGATTACCTAAGAATGTTTTTGGTTTGTTGTGTCTGTGCAAATAGTAAGTGATGTCCGTTGATCAAAGAGTTGATATTCAGACAAGGGATTTTAACGCTGGTGCCACATGATTTGGAAGACGCAGGTCATCCTCCCTTCTTTGTATTTCTCTATAACCTGACAGGGCACTCACTGGTGCTTAAATACTTCAGGTGTTGTGAAACTATGGACAATAATACATCCCTGACATTCGTTTTCACGACACGACGGTGGATAGGTGTACCTGGCAATCAGCGTGACTGTGTTCTCAATAATCCGTTGGATATATACCAGGCATGTACTCATTACTCATTACATTAAGTATCCCCTTGTTGCGCCAACTCTCTGATACGTGGGCAGGAAATGAACTGCAACATAGAAATATGAATTGATTCTTCCAATATTCAATGTTGTCATTATTATCGAGATAACCCTTGAGCTTTACTGCGTATTATTGCTAAATTCTGATCTTGTTAGGTATATCCGTCAGGTTTCTCATTACAGCTTCTTGATGTCGTGGTTTGTTCTCAGCCTCACGTTAGTGCTTACCGTTTGTTACTAAATGTGTGAGATTTTTCAGCCAACTATTCTGATGAGCTGCTCCTGATAGCTCCATCAGAATGGTACAAGGCCTTATGGACCACCTGCCATTCACCATGAAGCACCATTGTCTCTATCTGAGTTGTTGCCTGTGATAGTTTCCGCTGCAGCCACTTTCGCAGAGGAATATCTAATGCGAGCGAATGCGAAGTTTTAATTATTTCCGAAAAGTTAACCCACTCCCAGCCTCTCTGTCGCAAGCTGTTTTACGGCAAGGCTGATGACGGAAATTGTCTCTGGCTATGAGAGTTTCATTTGTTTGTCGTCAGGGTTGGCTTACATTTTACAGAGTAGTGCAGTTACGTTGTGCAGGAATGGTTGCCTTTCATGCCATTTTGTGGATTTGATTAGTCTTATCGTGAGATGCAATGGAGATCAGGTCAAAAGGATCTGTCAAAATTAAGCTCAAATCCGGTAAGTGGTCTACGATGGCCGAAAGCTTAGCAAAGCGCTGCTATTATGCTTCCAAAAAGAGGCACGATGTGTACTTCTGAGCAGCACAGATGCCATGAAAATTACCATTACAGCAGTGTGATCCGTAAATGCATGTGAAGTGGAGTCACAAATGATTCTAGCTTCATGTCATGACCCATACTAAGATACAAGAAGAAGAGAGAAAGCAACCTTTTCAGTGTGTTAAGCTATTTTGATAATTTTGGAATAAACAGTGAGCTACCTAGTCGTAAGCAATGTAAGCCAACTTAAATGAAATTATACACAGTTTGTTGTATGCGACCTATATGTGTTTATTTTACTAATACTAATACATGCTAATAAACTTAAATAAACTAGTAATTAATACATACTACAAAACTACATCCGTTCCTACCAATGGTAGGTGTTTGAAAAATAAACAACATTTTTCGACAGCTACAGTGGCATGTCACAAACGATTCAATAAAGGTAAATAAATATAAAAAAAGCAACGCACTATTTTAAACACAAACATGTCAAGATAAAAATTGCATGTTCAGTGAGAAGCCTGACACTCAGACTCACTGACAATTTTCTTAATGTTTGGAGTATAAATTGACACCGCCATTCGGATACAATTGTCCAAATGTCCATCTGTAAGTCAATTACAGTGTTTGTTTTTAATAAACTTTATATTTGAAAAAAAAGATTTACACAAATAGGTTGAACTAAATAACGCTTTCACTTTCAAGGCAACACGCCATAAAACTGAATATTTATCTTTACGTACTGAAGGCCAGATTCATTTTATATTTGAGACTAATGATTTTAAAGCTAAAACATTTTGAAACGCAATCACTTCCATTCCATTACATAACAGAAGTTGCAAACTGTTGGATATCAATTTCCGTGAAACAACTAAACGATTTTTGAAGTTATTCTCTAAGTTAGGGACAAGTTCTACATAGGATTTACTGTCATGTGGTTCTAATAGACTTTGAGATATCTTATATATAACAGGAAAATGCCTGGAATCGCCATTGATGTGTTGTTCCCAAAACTCAAGCTTTTTGATAAACGCTTTTATATCAGAAACCATTTCTGCTAGTTCTTTGTCTCTCCCTTGAAGCTGCAAATTAAGTTCATTAAAATTTTCTATAATATCCACAAGAAATCCAAAATCTCTAGGCCAGGTTGAATTTTTCATTTCCGGAATTGTTGTTTGAAAAACTGAACTATGGCAGTTAGATCATTAAATCCTTTCAGTACTCGTCCCCTACTTAACCACCGGACTTCAGAATGAAGTGGTTGACAGTCAATTTCATCGCCCAAGGTTTTGAATAATCTTCTGTGTAACGCTTGAGCTAGGTCCCGTTCATAATTTTTACTACCAATTTCATAACGTTGTTTAGTTTTAGAAAATGTCTACATAATGATCGCTGATGAATAAAGCAGTGGTAACAGATAAATTGCGGAAAACTTATATCTTTACGACATAAACCCACGAGACCCTTATCACGACCCACTATAGCTGGAGCGAGCGCTATCGGATGTCAATTGTTTGTCATTTTCGGTATTGGAATTTTCTCAGAAGAAAAAGAAGAAAACAAGTCCTGCCCAGTAGTCTGTGCTTTCAGTGCAATGAACTTTAAAAGATTTTAATCGTAAAATCACTAAAAACCATCCTGATGAACACCATCCGAGAGGTGTCAACATCATCTATGGACTCATCCAGCTGCACTGAAAAATAAGCACAATTAAACATTTTTCAAAATGTACAACAGAAACAGATGTATTACATAACAAACATATATTTTTACATTCAACATCTGTAAAGAAATATTGTTCTTCCCCTTCCGAATGGGAATGGTAGTTATGTCTTCATCTTCTTACTACTGCTCATAACGTTTTTTATTGATGGCCAACTCTAACCCAACGGCTAGACTTTGTGCCGTTCAGTTTCAAATTGAGCGAAATGTCGCCGCGTCTTGCGTATTTATTCTGTTCAAAGTAATCGAGATCGTTCTCGAATAGACCGTTCACCGCAGTGTTGCTACTGCTTGTGTTTATTATGAGTATTTAAAAAATTTACGGAAGCTTCTACGATTTTTACACCTTCTTAAAATATGTTGTGAGCCACCAGAATTGCCTCTTTGCGAGCTACGGCTGGCTCGCGATCGACGGGTTTACGACCACTAGTCAAAATATTTGCCTAGGTAACTTGCCTACTGTGTTTGTAGCAGTACGAGACAGAGTTTGCATCGTTATGGGATACTACTACTCGTACTATCTATGTATATACAAATAGCTCTAACTCTAATGACGATGAAGGAACTGATGAGGCGCATAAGACCTATACCGAACTGGTTAGTTGATAATGAGCACGAAACAGCACTGTCTGAATGACGAATGCTTGGTATTCCGCACGGGTATTATGTGTCTGCAAAATTTACAATATGTCGGTTTTTTTTGACATTATACTGTTTTTTTTCACATAACGTAGGTGTTTTCTACAAGATGTCAACTTAGCATTAGGGAGGCATAAGGGCGCTTGTTGTGAACTCGCTTTGTAGTTATACATGTTGCCTGAACCCTATGATGCTTCAACTATCAATGTTTTTCTCTGATGTGATGTAACTTCTGCTTCAGAGATCGCATTATTGGAGGTCTAAGCTTTAAGTTGTATACTATAGACCAGGGCTGTAGAACATGCGGCCCGCAAACTCCTTTCTTGCGGCCCGCTTCACGGGTCATGTATACATCACATGTATAAATTACTCTCAAATACCGAATATGCATAATTCTTACATTAGCTCTGTAATAATGTTGTATAGAAAGATTTTATAATGCGGCCCTCCAAACTGCATTTTTTTAAGTGGCCCTTGGGCCACATTAAGTTGGACAGCCCTGCTGTAGACTATAACTGGAAGGAAACGGCAGTGCATAGGTGCAAAGTGAGGATATGTGTGCTGATAATCTGCGTTGATGATAATTCCATTGGATTCTTGTCTCAAATACACTTACTTGAGACTCAAAGTTAGAAATTAGTTGCGCACCCACTTTTTTACACATTTCCTGTGCTGCTCAAAGCTTTGAAAACACAAAAAAGTGAAAAATCGTAAGTTATAACTTTGAACATAACCTGTTTTCACAGCTAATAGATATGCTTCATTGGCAGCACACTCAGTAATAGTTTTCTCGCATAGCAAATATCACTGATTTTATACACATGCAGATCAACGCACATAATCATCCAGATGCGATCTTGCTTCTCAACCAACTTTCTTCTTCTTTCACATCTTCTCAACGCTACATACTACTCGGCTTCACTGAACATATACTTGCTTTCTGCTACCTGCAATGCGTGTAGTTGAGTCATTCCTCCATAGCTGGACGCTCACAGAGATCATAGCGAGCAAACGTGAAATGAACTATTTGCACCCTGCAAACTATTTAGTCTGCAAGATGACATTTTACTGTTTTTTTTTTACGTTTTATAGGTTTTTTACATAATAGCCGTGTCGACCATTTCATATGTTAACCGTAATGGTGCAGTGCGACGTATCTGCGCAGAACGGAATGTCGAGGGGTACGAGCTAAAATACGTCAGGGCAAGATCAGCTTGGCGAAACCATCGGTAGGTGAGGATCGTCAGATTGCGCACCATTTTTCAACTTCCTTGACCTAGGCATGCCGCGAAGTGCAAGTTTCATAACCATCTAACAAGCTATATTGGTTCCAAATATCGCCAACGTAGATCTGCAGTACCACGAGTAACAATCTAACAAATTATTTTGGTTCCAAATATTACCAAAGAAAAGCTGCAGCACAAATAACAATCCTAGCAACAGTCAGAACCGAACCATCGGCGTGCCTTTGAGGAGAGCATCCTGGGCATTTCGCGTGGGCGCACTGTAACAAGCATCTTCCAACAGGTTCTATTTTGGTTCCAGATATCGCCAAAATGAATTCGCAGCACCAACAACAACAATCCCAGCAGTCTCAGCAACACCAACAGTCACAACAGGGTTCACGACGGGCCTCTAAGGAGAGTATCCTGGGCATGTCGCGAGGTGGCACTGGAGGCCGTCAACGCAGCTTGGAATGGCGATCCACCAGCTACGGAGGCAGCAGCAGCGACGAAGATATGCCGCCAGGAAGACCGCCTCCGGCCATCGACAGTCACGTGTTCGCTTCGCTGTTGGCGAAGGCACAACAGGAGTATTCAAGTGAGTTGTGCTTTTCACAAAGCTTTGTTTAACTTGTCGTGCATGTTAGTATGTGTGGTACACATCTTGTAACCGAATTTGGAACTAGTAAACCTTAACCAGTTGTGCTGAAAATTTTTAGGCACGTTTGCTCCGCGTTACAATACACAATAAATTAAATGCCGCAATTTTATCACTACTATAATAACCCCTATGATATGTGTATCAAATGAGAGGGCCCAGCTGGCCCAACCATGTCAAAGCTGTTGTGATCAAAATATCGACGTCATGATACCGTCTACTAAATGTTCTCTTGTGTATTGCAAGACGTTGTTATTACGTGTTGTTGATGCAATCTTTTTTATATGAACGACGTTTTTTTCAATTCAGAATCAATCTCTTCGATTAAAAACAAATCCGCACGGGTATCACGTAACTTGAAAAGTGACATTATGCCGATTTTTTTAGTGACATTATGCTGGTTTTTATTGACATTATGTAGGTTATTCTACAAGATGTTAACTTAGCACTTAGTTGTACGTGTTGCCTAAACGTCATGAGACTTGTTATCAATCTTTGGCTTTGATGTGATGTAAAATCTGCATCTGAGCTGGCATTACTGGAGGTCTAAGCTGTAAGTCGTATGTGTTGATGATAATTACATTGGGATTGGGTTCTTGTCTCAAATACACTTAATTGAAATTCAAAGCTAGAAATTAGTTGCGCATCCACTTTTTCTTATCCATTCTGGGAATTACATATACAAATTTGCTGAATTTCAAAAATGAGAGAGATAATAAATGATTATATTCACCGTACACTGTCGAGTTACAAGCCATATATATGCTAACAGTAATTACACACAACGCGGGCGCCGTGATGATTTCCCGTAATTCTCTTCAGTTTTTCGTAATTTATAACGTTGAACATAACCTCTCGTCAGAAAGCACAACGTATAAATAACCCGTCATATTCGGCATATTCAGTAATGATTTTCAGCAAATATCACTGATTTTATACACAACCAGACCAATACACATAATCATCCAGATGCGCTCTTGCTATTCAACCAATTTTCTTCTCAGAGATAAAAGCTACAGGCCCGGGTCACTCAGCCTCACAAAGCTGTGCAACCAATAATGCGTAGTTAAGTTGAGTGATTCCTCCATAGATGGACGTTCACAACGATCCTAGTGAGCAAACGTGGAATTACTGTTTGCGCCCTAAAAACTACCTAGTCTGCAAGTCGACATCTTATAGGTTTTTTTTTACGTTTTATAGATTTTTTACATGATACCCGTGCCGGTTACCGGACGGAAAAATAATCCTTCCCAGGCTAGCATCAAAATTAGGTTAACACAAAGATGAAGCGTTGACATTGTTGCAAAAGCATTCTTTAGATATAATCATTATGTTGCAAAAAAAAACAAGTTGAAGAAATTATGTTTTCTGGGTGTAACACTTTTAACGTTACTAAGCATATGTGTAATATTTTTGTTAATTTAGAATTTATCTCAACGATCATAAACGGATCAAATCAGTGGGCAAAGTAGGCAAAGAAATAGTTATCTCATTCCATCCCTGATCGACGTTCACTCAGAGCCAACTCATATAGTTTGAAATGGCAAATTACTAACGTTGTGTCAAACGTTATCGTAAAATGTTCTATTTCTCTTTATATTCCCAGCGTCCCGAAATATAGTTTCTGATGATTTTTAGGAATACCTGTGAATGCAAAATGAATGAAAAGTTACCGCCAGGGGTGACATGTAAAAACGCTAAAAAACGTAAGAAAAACGGATTGCACCTGTATTACATATCCTGAAAAGTGACTTTTCGTCGGTTTTTCAGACCTGTTGTAGGTCTTTTGTGACAAAACGTAGGTTTTTCTACAAGATGTTAACTTAGAACAAGCTAGTTA